AATAATAGATGAGCTTATGTAAAGCTTATATTAAATAGCACAAGATACCACTGTTTTACTGGTCATTTAGCTCACATTTTGTATTTAAAGCAATATATTATGCAATTAATAAATGCCTGATGGACTGATAGGCGCTGATGACATGTCTTTTTCATTTAATAGATAACTCCTACCTGGACTTGAAGCTTTTAACCAGTGTATGAGCAGCCAACACCCATAGCCACTGTCTCTGCTATAATAAGCTATGATACTTCTTTACTTGCCTTGCTGGTAGAAGGGATCCACCCTGTCAGGATTTCCCTCCACATTATCTGAGAGTTTGTTGGACTGCATTCCTTGAGGTCAGCCTATAGCCTGATTGTAAAGACAAAAATGTAAATCTGAAAATGCACAAGACAATGCCACTTCAACAAAGTTCTCTAAAATACTAGAAGTTCAAACACATAGCAATAAATCCGTTACATTCAATGCAAAAGATGCATAACCGTTATGAGCATACACACATAAACAATGAGAAAACACTCTGAATTACAGTTGTTTAATCTAAAGAAAACTTAAACTTACTGATCAACTTGTTCCCTTGCAACACATACAGTTTTCCATGGCACAACATGGGAAGTGAAGACTGTGTGGAATGGCAGGATGACGCCAGAGGGGCTGGTCCTCTCCACCCAGCCAAACCAAAGCTCGGGGTTTTCTGCCAAGAACATCCCAGCTGCCAGAAATGCATGACAAAGTAGCTATAAAATATAAATATCTTAGTGGTAAGTCAGAAAAACAACTGTGCATGAGCTCTTCGCATGCCTGTTGACTTTTTAAAGTTACACATGTCAACTCTAATCTAAAATAAATGCAGCAGCATGGCATATAAAGTGTTCCAATCCAAAGGAAATCTCATATATTATGTTATTATTTCGTTATGTCAGAGAATGCAAATTCTAGCTCGGTCTGTATGAGTGAATAGTTTCATCGAACGAGTCATTCTACCGAGTGATTTTTGCCCACTCGAAGGTGCGTTCCGATTGACAGGGTCCCTACTCAGTGTTCACTGCTCCCTATTCCCTAAGCACGGGATATCCGTTGAAGTGGATTTAGCTGACAATAATCGCTTATTTGGAACGCCCTGGAACGTCATCAAACAAAGGCAACGACGGGGTCGCGCAGATTATTATATAACATAAATAAATAGCCTATTGTAATATATTTTACTTTAAAAATTAAATACATACCCAATTATGTATCTAATAAATATAGTCAAAATTTACATGTTTAGACTGTTAACAGATTGTAGTGGTTTCATCTCACGCGCAGCTTCATAGTAACTCTCCTGAGGTTAGTCCTAAATAAAGTTAAAAAAAATAAAATGACAGAGCCTCAGCTGTTTCTCGCCGGCTTTACTTAGTTTCACCTATTCATACAATACAATATGCAAATCTAACATTAACCGCCATCAACAACATTTACACATTAACATTTATTGTAACCCCTGTCATTGACTTCCATAGTATTTTTTTCCCTACTATGGAAGTCAATGGCAACCACCAACTGTTTGATTACCAGCAATCTTCAAAATATCTTCTTTTGTGTTCAACATAAGAAAGCAACTCATACAGGTTTGTAACAACATGAGGGTGAGTAAATGATGACAGAATTTTTGGGTGAACTATCCCTTTAACGGCTCTGCTCCATCGTTAAAGGCACAGTATGTAATTTTCGCCGCTAGAGGGCGCGTATTCAAAATAAACAAAGAAGCAAAAGCGTAGTTTGATGACGTTGTGACTGAGTGTGGAATCATGGGAGTTGTCACCTTCATTTCCACAGCCGATGCAATCCGACAGGACTCGGGCAGAAATCATGTTCATCAAAAGCAGCGCTGTTTTATCATACTAGATACATTTGAAAGTTCGCTTATAATGCTACTCTGTGCGGTCGTCACCCGTCTATTAAAACGCACACCATATTAAAGCCTCTGACTGATGATGCAGTGCGCAATGAATGACAGCTGGGTGGTTTTCCCTCTCCACTTCCTGTGAAGTGATGTATCGATGTTCCCTTATTCCCCATGCCGTTCGCAGTGCCCTTCGAACTGAACATGTTCCTCCCTTCGGATTGGAATCTCACTTAAGATGGCGGAATACCCTGTGAAGTCCACTTCGCAGTCCACTTACGGTCGAATGGAACGCACAAAGACTGAGGCTGTGTCCGAAATCGCCCCCTATACCCTTAAATAGGGCACTATTTGAGGGAACAGACATTTTTAGTGGTGTCCGAAACCATAGTGGACGTTCTCGAGTGCACTCATTCAATCCCACAATGCACTGCAAAAACGAGTGTACAACCATAGACATATACATACCTAGACTCCTCATTGGCCGCTTTGAGCCGTTGCTGCGATACCTCAACGCGTCCGCCATGTTTGTGAGGGCAAGACTGCCTTAAAAATAAATGGAGGTAAACGGAGGAGCTGCGTTTTTTTCTGGATAAAAACACGATAACGTTTACATTTATCAACCGATTTCAGAGGGTAATTCTGGCCATTCAGTCATAGTTTAACTAGTACTAATACAACACTAGGCTGTGGAGGTATAGCCTACTCTCTTGGAAATGCAGAGAACAGGCTTTCTTCAGCTTTCCTTAAGGCTTGCGTTGTCCTGTTTGCAA